TGGGGAAATTTTTGGAAAATCTTGGGTCCTGAATTGAGGATTCCTTCCTCTAGGAGGACTTTGGTTTTCTGCTACAGGAGTCCTTCATCTCCCTCCAGATTCCTTCTGTAACCTAGGGAGCTCAGGCTCAACAGATCCTCCTGAATGTTCCCAGCCCAATCAGGAGTGTCTGCCTTGTGCATTCTGTTACTTTTTCTTTGAGATGGAATTTCATTCTTGTCCCCTAGGCTGGAGTACAATGGTGCAGTCTCGGCTCACTGCAACCTCTGCCCGCTAAGTTCAAGTGATTCTCCTGCCCCAGTCTCCCAAGTAGTTGGGATTACAGGCACCCACCACCACACCTGGCCGATTTTTGTATTTTTTGTAGTGATGGAGTTTTGCTATGTTGGCCAGCCTGGTCTCGAACTCCTGGCCTCAGATGATCCAACCTCAGCCTCCCAAAGTGGTGGGATTACAGGTGTGAGCCACCACACTGGCCTTGTTTCTTGTGAAGAGTGCTGTGTAACTAGAGCACAAAGTTGTCCTTGTGCCTGGCACAGGGCCTGGCAGACCATGGTGCATTCCTACTTGGGGAGCAGATGGATGCTTGAGGGATGGAGGTTAGGGAACACAGTGGCCTTAGAGACCCTAGGAATTCGCTGTACTCGGTCTTCTTATCTTTCCCAGGCCTGGCCAGCATGACCCAGAACTTAGAGCCACTTCTGAAGAAGCAAGGCTGGGACTGGGCGTGAGTACTGGGTGTCGGGGAGGGGTGCCAGGGCCGGCTGGGACCCTCCCAGGGTCCCCCAGCCAATCTTGTGACCTGCTGTTCTTCTAGGCTCCCTGTGGCTAAGCTGGCTATCCGCGTGGGGCTGGCAGGGGTGGGCTCTGTGCTGGGTGCCTTCCTCACCTTCCCAGGCCTGAGGCTGGCCCAGACCCACCGGGACGCGCTGACCATGTCAGAAGACCGGCCCATGCTGCAGTTAAGTGGATCGCTTGGTGGGCGGGGTGATTAGGGAACCTAAGGGTGCCCAGGTCTCACTCTCTGCTGCCCTGACTCCCCAGGTTCCTCCTGCACACCAGCTTCCTGTCTCCCCTGTTCATCCTGTGGCTCTGGACAAAGCCCATTGCACGGGACTTCCTGCAGCAGCCGCCCTTTGGGGAGACGCCCTTCTCCCTGTGCGTATGGGGTGGGGCCAGGAGGTAGCTGGGCTCCCGTGGGTGCCCCAGCCAGTGAGACTCAGGGAGGAGCCTGGGGAAAATCCTGGGGAGTCGGGGGCGGCCTTCTTAGCCCCCTTGCCCCCACCGCACTCCACACAGGCTGTCCGACTCTGCCTTTGACTCTGGGCGCCTCTGGTTGCTGGTGGTGCTGTGCCTGCTGCGGCTGGCAGTGACCCGGCCCCACCTGCAGGCTTACCTGTGCCTGGCCAAGGCCCGCGTGGAGCAGCTGCGAAGGGAGGCTGGCCGCATCGAAGCCCGTGAAATCCAGCGGAGGGTATGGACGCCCCGATGACCTGGGCCAGAGGGAACTTGGGGCTCATGGCGGGGCTCCTGGTCCTTTGGGCGTGGAGTCTCCCCAAACCCAGAAGGCCTGCCGCAGCCACCGCTGCTACCTGCCCACAGGTGGTCCGGGTCTACTGCTACGTGACTGTGGTGAGCTTGCAGTACCTGACGCCGCTCATCCTCACCCTCAACTGCACGCTCCTGCTCAAGACATTGGGTGAGATGATGCTGCGGTGTGGAGTGGAGGAGGGACGGGGCTGGAAGATAGAACAGCGCGGAAGTGGAGTCGCAGGGGCCGGGCAGGAGGCGGGGCCTGGGGAGGGGGTGGGGCCTGGGGAGGCAGGGTCTGAGCAGGAGGTGGAGCTTGGGGTGGGGTTGCCTTGGACAGGAGGTGGAGCTTGGGGTGGGGTTGCCTTGGACAGGAGGTGGAGCCTGGGGAGGGGTTGGGTGTTAGCAGGAGGTGGGGCCTGGGAAGAGGGCAGGGCTTGTAGTGAGGCAGGATCTGAGCAGGAGGTGGGACCTGGGGTGCGGCTTGCCATGGACAGGTGGCAGTGTCTGAGCGGGTGGAGACTGGGCAGGAGGCGGAGACTGGGCAGGAGGCGGAGACTGGGCAGGAGGCGGAGACTGGGCAGGAGGCGGAGACTGGGCAGGAGGCGGAGACTGGGCAGGAGGCGGAGACTGGGGCAGGGGTGGGAGTGTCTGGAGGAATGGGCCCAGCCCCCTGTGCCAGCCCCCTGTGCCAGCCCCCTGTGCCAGCCCCCTGTGCCAGCCCCCTGTGCCAGCCCTGGCCCTCCCGCTGTGCCAGCCCTGGCCCTCCCGCTGTGCCAGCCCTGGCCCTCCCGCTGTGCCAGCCCTGGCCCTCCCCCATTTCTCTACTCACACCTTACTTCATCCTCTTCTCCCAGGAGGCTATTCCTGGGGCCTGGGCCCAGCCCCTCTACTATCCCCCGACCCATCCTCAGCCAGCTCTGCCCCCATCGGCCCCGAGGAGGACGAGGTCCAGCAGACTGCGGCTCGGATCGCCGCGGCCCTGGGCGGCCTGCTCACGCCCCTCTTCCTCCGCGGCGTCCTGGCCTACCTCATCTGGTGGACGGCTGCCTGCCAGTTGCTGTCCAGCCTCTTCGGCCTCTACTTCCACCAGCACTTGGCGGGCTCCTAGCTGCCCGCAGACCCTCCTGGGGCCCTGAGGTCTGGTCCTGGGCCAGCAGGACATGAGCCTGCCCGCTCTGTGTGTGCCCCGGCGTCCCCAGCTGCCAGGTGAGGCCGGACTCCGCGCCTTCCCCTTCACCGCAGTGCCTGAGCCGCGGCCCCCCTTGGACGCCGAGTTTCTGCCTCAGAACTGTCTGTCCTGGACCCAGCAGCGGGTCTGGGTCCCCTGTTCATCCTGTGGCTCTGGACAAAGACGAAGCCATTGTCTTCAAAGTGTGTGTGCCAGGTTTGAGTGGCGGGAGTGCTGCTGGCTGCTCTTCTGAACAAATAAAAGGAGCATGCCAATTTTTACAAACGGTCTGAGGGGTTTGGGACTTGGGTGTGGGCGGGGTGGTAGCCGCCTGCACATCCCTGCGGCACCTGCCCTGGTGCAAGGTGGGGGCTTCGCGGGAGGGAGAGCAGAGCAGGACTGAGGGGAGCGGACGTCTGGGAGGAGAAAGGAAAGCGAGGAGGAGGCCGGGCGCGGCAGCTCACGCCTGTGATCCCAAATCTCAACACTTTGGGAGGCCAAGATGGGCGGATCACTTGAGGCCGGGAGTTCCAGACCAGCCTGGTCAACATGGTGAAACCCCATCTCTACTAAAAATACCACCAAAAAAAAAAAAAATTAGCCGGGCATGGTGGTGTGCACTTGTAATCCCAGCTACTGGGGAGGCTGAGACAGGAGAATCACTTGAACCCGGGAGGTGGAGGTTGCAGTGAGCTGAGGTCGTGCCACTGCACTCCAGCCTGGGCGACAGAGTGAGACTTCTTGTCAAAACAAAAACAAAACAGTGGAAGGTGCATATGTAACCTTTTTGTATTTGCAAGATGTATACAGACAGTTCCCTGATTTAGAACGGTCTTAGATTTTTCTTTTTTAAATTTTTTTTTTTTTTTTTTTTTTTTTTTTTTTTTGAGACGGAGTTTCGCTCTTGTTACCCAGGCTGGAGTGCAATGGCGCGATCTCGGCTCACCGCAACCTCCGCCTCCTGGGTTCAGGCAATTCTCCTGCCTCAGCCTCCTGAGTAGCTGGGATTACAGGCACGTGCCACCATGCCCAGCTAATTTTTTAAAAAATTTAATCAGGCTGGGTGTGATAGCTCACACCTGTAATCCCAGCACTTTGAGAGGCCAAAGCAGGAGGATTGCTTGGGCTGGAAGTTTGAGACCAGCCTGGGAAACATACCATGACCTCCTCTCTACTAAAGATTAAGAAAAATTAGCTGGGCATGGTGGTATACACCTGCAGTTCCAGCTACTTGGGAAGCTGAGGCAGAAGGATCTCTTGAGCCCAGGAGTTTGAGGCTGCATTGATCCATGAACACATCACTGCACTCCAGCCTGGATGACAGAGTGAGACCCTGTCTCAGAAAACCCCCTAAAAAACAGAGACATAGAAAATACTAACACGCAGTGGCTCCCAGAATAGGCATCAGGACGTGCCCTTTGAGTGGCGTTTGACTTCTGAAATTTGCACCTCTGTTATGTGGATAAAAATGAAAAATATATTAAATATAAGGATTCAGGCTGGGCGTGAATCCCAGCACATTGGGAGGCTGAGATGGGAGGATGGCTTGAGGCCTGGAGTTCAAGACCAGCTTGGGCAACATAGGGAGACCCTGTCTCTCCAAAAAATAAGGAATTTGCTGGGCATGGTGGCACGCACCTGTGGTGCCAGCTACTTGGAAGGCTGGGGCTGGAGGATCCGTTGGGCGCAGGAGTTAGAGGCTACAGTGAGTTATCTCACCACTGTATTCCAGCCTGGAGACAGAGCTTCACCCTGTCTCTAAAAAAGGAAAATATGGCCAGGCACAATGGCACTCGCCTGTAATCCCAGCACTTCAGACGGCTGAGGTGGAAGGATCACTTGAGCTCAGGAGTTTGAGACTAGCCTGGGAAACATGGTGAAACCCCGTCTCTATAAAAAATCCAAAAATTAGCCAGGTGTGGTGGTGCACACTAGTCCTGGCTGCTCAGGAGGCAGAGGTAGGAGGATTTCTTGAACCAGGGAGGTTGAGGCTGCAGTGAGCTGTGATCACACCACTGCACTCTAGCCTGGAAGACAGCAAGACCCTGTCTCAAAAATATGAAACAAAAATGAAAATTTAAAAAAGCAGTATAAGGAGAAAAATTAGAACCACAACGAGAAAAAAATAGGAAAGATGGAAGGGGGTGGTTGAGGTCTTTGTGTGGTTCAGAGGGAAGAAAAATATTTTAATTTTTTTTTTTCTTTTTTTAGGTAAGAGTCTCAACCTGTCGCCCAGGCTGAAGTACAGTGTTGCAATCACAGCTCACCGCAACCTCTGCCACCCAAGTTCAAGCGATTCTCCTGCCTCAGCCTCCTGAGTAGCTGGATTACAGGTATGCACCACCTCACCTGGCTAGTTTTTGTATTTTTAGTAGAGACGGAGTTTCACCATGTTGGCCAGTGTGGTCTCAAACTGGCTTCAAATGCTTCACCTGCCTCGGCCTCCCAAAGTGCTGGGATTACAGGCCTGAGCCACTGCACCCAGCCAAATATTTTAATTTTTGTTGATGCATCGATTGTAAGCACCACATCCATGCCTCTCACAGGAGGGGGTTCTGCCCACAGGAACACAGGTCGATGTCTGGATAAATTTTTTTTTTCTTTTTTATAAAGACGGGGTTTCACCATGTTGGTCAGGCTGGTCTTAAACTCCTGACCTCAGGTGATCCGCCCGCCTTGGCCTCCAAAGTGCTTGGATTACAGGCGTGAGTCACCACGCCCAGCCTGGATAAATTTTTTAGTTGTCACCACAGGGGGTGAGGTGCTGCTCTTGCTGTCTGAAGAGGGGAGGCCAGGGTGCTGCTTACCACCCTGTGGTGCCCAGGATGGCCTCACCTCAGAGGACGATCAGCACCAAATGTCAGCAGTGCTGACGCTGCGAGACCCTGTGGGAGAACAAATGGAATGTACCATTTCCAGACAAGCAGAAAGAAAAGAAAAAGGGGGAAAAAACTCACAGAACTCATAGAAAAAAAGAAAAACCACTAGGCGCAGTGACTCACGCCTGTAATCCCAGCACTTTGGGAGGCCGAGGTGGGCAGATCACCTGAGGTCGGGAGTTCAAGACCAGCCTGGCCAAAATGGTGAAACCCTGTCTTTATTTAAAAAAAAAAAGAAAAAAAAAATCCCATCTCTACTGAAAATACAAAATTAGCCAGGTGTGGTGGCGGATGCCTGTAATCCCAGCTACTTGGGAGGCGGACACAGGAGAATTGCTTGAACCTGGGAGGTGGAGATTGTGGTGAGCCAAGATTGCACCATTGTACTCCAGCCTGGGCAACAAGAGCAATAAAAATCTCTGTCTCAAAAAATAAATAAAATATTTTAAAAAATGATTTGTACAGGGCCAGGTACAGTGGCTGATGCCTGTAATCCCAACACTTCGGGAAGCTGAGGTGGGCAGATCTCTTGAGCCCAGGAATTTAACATCAGCCTGGGCAACATAGCAAGACCCTGTCTCTACAAAATACAAAAAATTAGCCAGATGCAGTGACCTGCACCTGTAGTCCCAGCTATTTGGGAGGCTGAGGTGGGAGGATCACTTGAGCCTGGGAGGTTGAGGTTGCAGTGAGCTGTGAGTGTGCCACTGCACTCCAGCCTGGGTGACAGAGTGAGAACCCTGTCCCACCAAAAAAAAAAAAAATTATTTGTAGAGACAGGGTCTTACTATGTTGCCCAGGCTGGTCTCAAACTCCTGGTTTCAAGTGATACCCCTGCCTCAGCTTTCCAAAGAACTGGGATTACAGGTGTGAGCCACCATGCCTGGCCATAAATTAGTTTGTTGTTTGTTTTCTGAGACAAGTTCTTGCTCTGTCACCCATTCTGGGATGCAGTGCCGCCATCTCAACTCACTAGAGCAGGCGTCCCCAAACTACGGCCCACAGGGCCGCATGCGGCCCCCTGAGGCCATTTAGCCAGCCCCCCGCCGCACTTCAGGGAGGGGCAACTCTTTCATTGGTGGTCAGTGAGAGGAGCACAGTATGTGGCAGCCCTCCAACGGTCTGAGGGACAGTGAACTGGCCCCCGGTGTAAAAAGTTTGGGGACGCCTGCTCTATAGCCTCTACCTCCCAGGCTCAAGCTGTCCTCCCACTTCAGCCTCCCAAGTAGTGGGAATTACAGGCACCTGCCATCATGCCCAGTATTTTTTCTAGACACAGGGTTTCACCATACTGCACAGGCTGGTCTTGAACTTGTGAGCTCAAGTGATCCAACTGCCTCAGCCTCCTGAAGTGCTGGAATAACAGGCATGAGCCACTGCACCCAGCCTGCAAATGAGCTATTCTTAAAAGGAAAGAGCTGTAAGCTAGACGGGAGGAAAAAATCAACCAATTAGCCAGCCAGCCAACCAACCAGGCAGTGAAAAATTGTGAGATATCTTTTTTTTTTTTTTCTTTGAGATGGAGTCTTGCTCTGTCACCCAGGCTGGAGTGCAATGGCGCGATCTCGGCTCACTGCAACGTCTGCCTCCCGGGTTCAAGTGATTTTCTTGCCTCAGCCTCCTGAGTAGTTGGGATTACAGGTGTGCACCACCATGCCCAGCTAACTTTGGTATTTTTAGTAGAAATGGGGTTTCACCATGTTGGTCAGGTTGATCTTGAACTCCTGACCTTGTGATACACCCGTCTGGGCTTCCCAAAGTGCTGGGATTACAGGTGTGAGACACCACTCCTGGCCGCCTTTTTTTTTTTTTTTTTTGGAAAGGAAGTCTTGCTCTGTTGCCCAGGCTGGAGTGCAGTAGTGTGATCTCAGCTCACTGCAACCTCTGCCTCCTGTATTCAAACGATTCTTTTGCCTCAGCCTCCTGAGTAGCCAGGATTACAGGTGCACACCACCATTCTGGGCTAATTTTTGTAGTTTTTTTTTTTTTTTTTTTTTTTTTTTTTTTTTTGAGACGGAGTTTCGCTCTTGTTACCCAGGCTGGAGTGCAATGGCGAGATCTCGGCTCACTGCAACCTCCGCCTCCTGGGCTCAGGCAATTCTCCTGCCTCAGCCTCCTAAGTAGCTGGGATTACAGGCACGCGCCACCACGCCCAGCTAATTTTTTGTATTTTTAGTAGAGACGGGGTTTCACTATGTTGACCAGGATGGTCTCGATCTCTCGACCTCGTGATCCACCCGCCTCGGCCTCCCAAAGTGCTGGGATTACAGGCTTGAGCCACCGCGCCCGGCCTTTTTTTTTTTTTTTTTTTTTTTTAGGCAGGGTTTCTCCATGTTGGTCAGGCTGGTCTTGAATTCCCTATCTCAGGTGATCCGCCCACCTTGGCCTCTCAAAGTGCTGGGATTACAGGCGTGAGCTACTGCGTCCAGCCTTAATTTTTGTATTTTTAGGAGAAACAGGGTTTCACCATTTGGCCAGGCTGGTCACGGACTCTTGACCTCAAGTGATCTGCCTGCCTCAGCCTCCCAAAGTGCTGGGATTGCAGGCATTGGCCACTGCACCCAGTCCAGATACCATTTTTTTACTTGTCAAATTATGGAAGATCAAAGATGGGTGAGAGTATGTGGTATGAATCCATATGATCTGTTTGCAGGCATACCTGGCATTTCTATTCCTTTTTGGATGGTTGCCCCCAAAGATGACCCCAAAAGGACTCAGAGCTACCTAGGAGGTGACCCCAGGAAGCACCATGGCAGGTGAGAGCTGAGACAAGGAGGGAAGGTGCCTTGCAGGGGGCACCAATGAGCAGCTGACACCGGGGGCAACCCGTGCTCAGTCCTGCCAGGGGCCTTAGCGGGACAGTATAGAGCACTCAACTCAGTGATCCCATGCCCAAGAATGGGTTAAGCCACCTACACACCCACCTTCAGTCATCGGCTGCTGTTTGCACCTGGGGTACCGGGTTGTGTTTCTTCAGGAGACTCCTAGGCTGGGCAGAATTTTATAGCAAAAAGCATTTGATGGCTGGGCGCAGTGGCTCACGCCTGTAATCCCAGCACTTTGGGAGGCCAAAGCAGGCAGATCACCTGAGGTCAGGAGTTCAAGACCAGCCTGGCCAACATGGTAAAACCTCATCTCTACTAAAAATACAAAAATTAGCTGGGCATGGTAGCGGGCACCTATAATCTCAGCTACTCGGGAGGCTGAGGCAGGGGAATCGCTTGAACCCAGAAGGCAGAGGTTGCAGTGAGCCAAGATCCCACCACTGCACTCCAGCCTGGGCAACAAGAGCGAAACTCCATCTCAAAAACAAAACTCCCACTAGTTTCCTTATAGATAACATCTCTGATGGATGGGCCACCACAGGTAATGGTTGCTTAAGTTGGTTTTCAGGAACAGGATCAGTTGTTGTCCAGTTCAAACAGGCTGAGAGCTGAACCTTCCCCTCAGCCTGTGTGTGTGTGTGTGGTGACCTTTTGATGTTAGAGGGCCAAACAGTCCACCCTCAGATCAGGATAACCACTGTAAACACACATCCCACCCAGGGCCATGAAGCTTGACTACACGTGCATGGTTCTCTGACTGCCCCACTTTTCCTTAGCCCCCATCACTTTTCCCCATGTCTCTGACCAGCTTGCTCCTCTATCCCTTTTTTTTTTTTTTTTTTTTTGGCACGGAGTTTCGCTTTTGTTACCCAGGCTGGAGTGCAATGGTGCGATCTCGGCTCACCGCAACCTCCGCCTCCTGGGTTCAGGCAATTCTCCTGCCTCAGCCTCCTGAGTAGCTGGGATTACAGGCACGCGCCACCATGCCCAGCTAATTTTTTGTATTTTCAGTAGAGACGGGGTTTCACCTTGTTGACCAGGATGGTCTCGATCTCTCGACCTCGTGATCCACCCACCTCGGCCTCCCAAAGTGCTGGGATTACAGGCATGGGCCACCGTGCCCGGCTGATTCAAGATTTTTATCCAGAACTTTTAACACAAATGTGTCAAAAGCACTTCAACCCTGTTTGGGGGTTCATGGGGGAAGATGGGGGAGTCAGTCAAATAAGAGTCATAAGCAGGAGAAGAAATCATTTAAGTTTTTATTAAATATACTCTCTTGGCACAAATCTTTAAAATATATAAACATTAGATAGAAACAGTGTCTTCATGGCATCAAAATATAACTCCAGACCAGGACCAGCAACCAGCAGGGAGGGGAGTGACTGCAGAGCCTCGAGTGCCTGGCTGTGTGCAGGGGTCGGGGAACAGCACTGCCCACCACTCCTGCCAGGTCCCATTCATCTGGGAGCCACCTCACGGAGGCACGCTGGGGTCAGCAGGGTCTAGGGGACCCTCCCACCCACACCTTGTCTCTCCTGCCCAGCCTGTGGCCCAAAATCCACCCACTTGGTCTCACCAACCTGGGGCAGACCCCGGGTCCCTGCTGCTGTTGCATGCCTGTCGGAGTTGGGTGCCCTCCTGTCTCCCTGTGACGGGGGACCCGCCACTCCTGCCAAGTCTGGGTGCTGGGTAAGGGATGCCCACCCAGCGGCACAGCCCCTCACAGTCATCACAGGCTGCCTGGGCCTCTGGGGATGAGATTAGGGAGGCTGGTGGCCACATGCAAGGAAGGTCAGAGAGCAGTCTTTACACCCACAGGTCCAAGACAAGAAGAATAGGAGGTGGACAGAAGGAAGGGTGACATGAAGTCATGACTGGCGATGCATGAGCTCAGATCCCTCCCCACAGTGTGTGCGGGGCCAGCCGTGGAAAGCAACACTCAGGGTCATGCTCACCCTGGCACCAGGCGGACCAGTCAGGGGTTCCATGTGAAAAGGCCATAGACCCAGGGTCAGCCAAGTTAAAAGAAATCAAATTCACAACGTCATCAGGGAATGGGTCCCTGTGATACCTGGCGGGCCCTGGGGGACTTCTCTGAGAGACCAGTTAGCTGGGGTTCCCCTAGGTACCTCAGCTGTTCCTCACCTCCCACCCCCAGGCTGTCCTCTGTCATGAGGCTCCCACTCTGGGGGGATCAAGGCTCCATTTCATGGAAACCAAACAACCCCTTATGGGCTTTAAATTGCTCCATGTCCCAGCAAAGTGCTGCTCAAGAGGGGACCCCAGGACCTGTTGGATACCCCAGCTGGGCAGAGGGTTGGGGCCCTGAGACCCAGCCTCTATTGGTGTGGCCCGGGGATGCAGGAGCTTCTAGGCCAAAGGAGGCAGCTTGGGTGCTCACATTTCAGCAGCTGCCGCAAGCTGCGGGTCTGACCCAAACCTGAGGCAGTTCCGTGTGGTGGTCCAGGCCTCACACCCTGGAGCAAGCAAGACGCTCATGGGAAGGTTACAAAGCAGTGGCCAGGCCAGCCTGTGGGGAGCTGCTCTCTTGGGGCCCCAGCTGCTTGCATGTCTAGGATGGACAGGAGGCTCTGGGGGAACATGGTTCCCAGCAGGAGGCTCTGCTGACTGAGGAGTCGTGGCCTCAGGCAAATACTGGAGAAGGCAGGACCGGCAGGGTGGGGTGGGCCAGGGGCTGCATTTGTGGCCAAAGCTGAACAGGAGGCTCGCCCCATCCTGGGCAGGGTCCGCCTGCAGGAAAGGCACCCCTGTACCCTGGAGGCCGGGCAGGCACGCAGAGTCAGAACAAGGAGGGCCAGGCGCGGTCTGGCTCTGAGCCTGGTGGGACAGGGGTCACTAGAAATCAGCAACATGTCGGAGGACACACGAGACCAGGAGGTGGAGCCCACCACGCCCCACTAGGACCTTTTAGGTCACACCTCCGGCAGACAGCGCCAGCCTCTGCGGAGGAGGGAAGAGGGGTGCGCGGGACCCCCCACACCACTGCCCCATCGCTGCACTTCCAGGGCCACCAGCTTTGCGCTTGGACCTGCGGACTCCGAGTCCAGGCCCCTCAGGACCACCTGCTTGTTCCACAAAGCGCCCCATGTGGCTCCTGAGGTGGAACCAAGCGCACCCCCGTTCCATGGGCCCAGAATACCAAAGGGGTCACCGGCCCACTGTCCTGAGCGCAGCTCAGGGTCCCCTAGCTCTGCAGGTGCCGCAGCAGGATCTGCATGAGGTCGAAGGTGGTGAAGCTGATGCCCACGGCGATGGGACCCTTGACCCAGTTCATGCTCAAGCCTTTGTAGAGGCCGCGCACGGCGCCCTCCTCCCGCACGATAGTGCGCAAAGTGCAGGCGATGGAGGTGCGCGGGTAGCCCGTGACGCCGGCCGTCTGCATGCGCCGCCGCACCACATCCAGTGGGTACGAGGCTGACTGCCCGATGAGGCCAGCGCAGGCGCCGAAGATCATGCGCTCGAAGGGGTAGGGCTGACGGCGGCCACTGTACTCTGCGGGGTGAGGGGCGGGAGGGCCGTGAGGGAGCCGCGAGGGGGCGCGCACCCTGCACCCATGCGCGCACATACACGCATGCACTCGCAGCCCCACGTGTGTGCGCACTCACGCGTACCCACCCCCCCACTGCCTCACCTCCGGGTTGCTCCTTTCCAATCAAACTCGAGAAATAAAATATCTTAAAAGGTAGAAACGCACAGAATCATAGAACCAACTCCCAGAGCTTATCAGCTTTACTCCATGTCTACTAAGGAAAGGAACATTCTAGGTGCTCGCGTGCCCAGTCTCTGACAGGCGCCCTCCCTGGGTAGCGCCTATGAGCTGTTGCACAGAGTGGACATAAGTGACCATGAACTACACGGCGCACCGTCTCGCGGGTCCAAACGGGATGTGTGGGCGTGGAGGAGGAAGGAGCAGCAACAGGTCAGTAGGGGTTCCTTAAAACATTTGTAGTAGTAAATTTAGAACTAGGAATTTAAAACAGCCAGGGCCGGGCGCAGCAGCTCACGCCCGTAATCCCAGCACTTTAGGAGGCCAAGGTGGGCGGATCACGTTAGCTCAGGACTTGCAGACCAGCCTGGCCAACATGGCGAAACCCTGTCTCTACCAAAAACAAAAATTAGCCAGGTGTTGTGGCCCGCACCTATAATCCACAAGAATCGCTTGAACCCAGGAGGGGGAGGTTGCAGTGAGCTGAGATGGCGCCACTGCACTCCAGCCTGGGCGACAGAGAGAGACTCTGTCTCAAAAAAACAGCCAGACAGGAGACACTGTGATCTACTCACCAGATGGGCAAAAACGAGGGGTCTGCTGGCACCACGTGGAATGAGAACATGGGGGCAAGGGTTGGGAAGCCTCCAGAGAGAAACACAGAAAATCGGGGTTCACACTCACACAAGGAGAGGAGCTCCTGGATGCTGGCTGATCACAAAAAACCTGGTAACAGCCAAAGGACACTCCAAGAAGGGAAGGCCCACTGTGTAGCCACTAAAAAGGCGGAACAGGGCATAGACCCCGGTGGATGCACCCCAAACCAGCTGAGCTGGGAGCTGCCCTCCTGGGTGAGCTGAGCAGACGGGGAGCATTTTATATACCTGTGAAAGGTGGCATGGTGGTGTTCTCGCCACAGATACATGCATACAGAAGCATTTTCAAAGCAGTCTTGTAGGGTGCAACCCCCACTTCTAATAAGAGGCCCTAGGAGGGAGGCTTGGGCCCTCAGCATTACCCCTAACATTCTATTTCTTTGGCAAAAGATGTCTGGGAGTAGGCTGAGCGCAGTGGCTCACACCTTTTATCCCAGCACTTTGGGAGGCAAAAGCAAGAGGATCGCTGCTTTTTTGTTTATATATATATATATATATATATAAACAAAAAAACACCTGGGAGCAAATGTAGCAAAATGTGGGTGGCTCTTCACACGGGGTAGCAGGTGTGATATTACAACATTCTTTGTACTTTCCGATTTTCTCCCAACTACCAAAACAAGCAACAGTACTTCCCTTCCACGTGGCTTTTACCCGTATGCTTTGCGCCTGTGCTTCTGAAAATGTGAGGTGGTCAGTGCTCTGGGTGATACATTGGGCTTCCCAGAGTCACTTTTTTTGAGACAGGGTCTCACTTTGTCCCCCAGGCTGGAGTGCAGTGGTGATCACGGCTAACTGTAGCCTCACCTCTCCAGTAGCTGGGACCACAGGCATGCACCACTGTGCCCAACTTTTTTTTTCTATCTTTGGCAGAGACGGGGTTTCGCCATGTTGCCCAGGCTGGTCTGGAACTCCTGACCTCAAGCGATCCGCCCCCCTTAGCCTCCCAAAGCGCTGGGATTACAGATGCGAGCCACTGCACCGGACAGAGTTGCTCTCACATAGGCATTTAAGGCAGAGTCCAGGTTCCTCAGTGGCGGCTGGACACAGTGCATTCTCTCTGGATTTGGATGTGGGTCTCCAGCCTGCCTCACCCAGGGTTGTACCCCACTCCACCTGGTCTCCAGGTCTGTGTGAGCCAGGTGGAGCTGCGGTCCCCAGGGAATGCTTCCTGAACGTCCCCACCCCGTGCTCCCAACTCTCCTTACCTCTGTGCAGGCTCTTGAGCGTCTCATAGGTGAAAAAACTCAGGCCGGCATAGGGAATGACCCCCAGCACGGTGGGTGTAAATCCATGGTAGAGGGTCTTCAGCCCCTCTTCTCTCGAGATGCGGATGAAGACATGAAAGATGTTGCTGTACCTGCCAGGACAGAGCAGCCCAGCAGGTGAGACTCGGGCCTCCCTGGTACGGGGAGCACCCACAGAGGGTCTTGGCTCGTCCCACAGTCTGCTGGGCCTGGGCATGTCTGGATGTGGATGTCTGCCTTCTTCAAGATACATAATTCCATCTCCAAAGCTTTGGCAATTAGAGGGGAAATGCACACCTAGACCCAGACTTCACCTTTGCCATGGGAAGCCCTCTGGCGTGCTTAGCCCTTGTCTTTTATTCTTACACTTTTTTTTTTTTTTTTTTTTTTTTTTTGAGGCAGGCTCCCTCTGTTACCCAGGCTGGAGGACATGGCACAGTCTCGGCTCACTGCAACCTCTGCCTCCTGGGTACAAGTGATTCTCCTGCTTCAGCCACCCAAGTAGCTGGGATTACAGACATTGTGCCACCAGACCCCGCTAATTTTTATATTTTTAGTTGAGACAGAGCTTTGCCATGTTGACCAGGCTGGTCTTGAATTCCTGACCTCAGGTGATCCACCTACCTCGGCCTCCCAAAGTGCTGGGATTACAAGCGTGAACCACCATACCTGGCCTCTATTTTTTTTTTCTTTTTCTTTTCTTTCTTTCTTTCCTTTTTTTTTTTTTTTTTTTTTTGGAGACAGGGTCTCACTCTGTGGCCCAGGCTGAAGTGCAGTGGCATAATCATGTCTCACTGCAGCCTCAACCTGCCAGACTCAAGCAATTCTCCTCCCTCAGCCTCTCAAGCAACTGAGATCACAGGTGTATGTTACCACACCAGGCTAATATTTAGTTTTTGTAGAGACAAGGTCTCACTCTGTTACCCAGGCTGGTCTCAAACTCCTGGGCTCAAGTGATCCTAGCCGTGGCTCCCAAAGTGCTGGGATTATAGGCATGAACCACCAAGCACAGTCTATTCTTACACATTCTTCATGATCATGGTATCTTCCCTGAATTAAGCATTCCATTCTCACACTTCTTTTTTTTTTAAGACAGTCTGGCTTTGTCGCCCAGGCTGGAGTGCAGTGGCTCCACCTCAGCTTACTGCAACCTCTGCCTCCTGAGTTCAAGTGATTCTCCTGCCTCAACCTCCTGGGTAGCTAGGAATACAGGCGCAGGTCACCATGCCCAGCTAATTTTTGTATTTTCAGTAGAGACAGGGTTTCACCATGTTGAAGAGGCTGGTCTCAGACTCCTGACCTCAAGTGATCCACCTGCCTCTGCCTCCCAAAGTGTTGGGATTACAGGCGTGAGCCACTGTGCTCGGCCATATTCTGACACATTTTTTGTTTTTGTTTTGAGATGGAGTCTTGCTCTGTCGCCCAGGCTGGAGTGCAGTGGCAGGATCTCAGCTCACTGCAACCTCTGCCTCCTGGGTTCAAGCGATTCTCCTGCCTCAGCCTCCCAAGCAGCTGGGATTACAGGCATGTGCCACCACACTTGGCTAATTTTTGTAATTTTAGCAGAGACAGGGTTTCACCATGTCGGTCAGGCTTGTCTTGAACTTCTGACCTCATGATCTGCCTGCCTTGGCTGGGATCACAGGTGTGAGCTACTACGCAGGGCCTTCTTACACATTTTTAACGCATCTATGCCCAATTAAAATGAAGACTCTTGCTTTGATCCAAGCAGAAACTGACCCCCAGGCTAAGAGAACAAATCGCTGCCTTTCTGGAACAGCTACAAAATGACACACCAGGCCTGCACTGCTGACAGCGAGGCCGAGATGCAAACCCCAGGGGCCCGACAGAGAAAGGGATTCCGACCTGGGAGCCCACCACCAATGTAAGGACTCACATTTCCTTCGGGGTTACGGCCATCCGAGCTCTGACCAGGTCCAGGGGGTAGGTCAGTGAAGCGGCTGTCGTTCCAGCCAGTGCTCCCGCGAAGAGGCGAGGCCAAGGGGGCAAGGCTCTGAACAGGGCAGGCGGAGAAGGGGAGACGGTAGTGAGGGGGTGCAGATGCTCAGAGGCCTGGCCTGGAGCACCTGCACCTCTCTGCTGGGGTGGGGACAGGGGTGGGGACTGAGGAACACGAGGTGGGCTGGCTTCCTCGTGGCCAAGCTGATGGGGTCTTTGGAACGGGCCTCATTTTGAGATTTACTTGGCTGCCTTCCCTTCCCCCCTGCTGGCATGAAATTAATGAATGATGTGTATTTTCCCTACAGCCCTGGGGGCATGGTGGCCTGCCCCTCTGGGATTTATGTGTCGGGGTGGAGAAACGTCTGGAGACAAACGGGCAAAGGAGAGGAGCTCTGAAGACAGAACAGGGCATATGACAGAGTCGGGGGCGGGGCGCCTCACGAGTTGCGGGAAGAGGGAGGATGGGGCTAGGGTCAGGGCAAGGAGAGGAAAACTCGGAGGGAGCGAGGCAGAGGGAGGGCAGGGGCGGGGCGTGCGGAGGAAAGAGAGGGGGCGGGCGTGGGCGGGGCTATGCTGGGGCGGGGCGGGGCGGGGCCTCACTCTCCGCGAAAGCCGTAGTAGCGGCCCAGGATGCGCTTGTACTCTTCGTGTGCGCTGAACTGGATGGCGGCATAGGGCACCACGCGCACCATGGTGGCCGAGTTCCCGCGCCACAAGCTGAGGAAGCCCTCGTTGAGGTAGGTGTAGTAGAGGACCCGGAAGGCCTCCTGGGGATAAGCGAGGAGGTCAATATCTCTCCGCCTCTGCGTGCCCTCCCTGCGCACCTATGTGACTAGCAGAGCGCCCCGAAAGTGCGAAGGCAGGGCCGGGGTGATCCCATCCCCATGCACTGTGCACAACCCCATCCCCATGTGAGGGCTCCACTCTGATTTGTCCAGACTGACATGATCAACCCCAGGCCTCCCATCCCAGCAAGTTCTCCACTCCGGGGTATGGCAAAGCGAACCAGTCTGCACAGCAGCTCAGAACCCTGCCCAGGGGCATGTCTGTCGGTGTTTAGCATTCTAGCTTTAACATTTTATCTTTTTCTTTGTTAAGACGGTAGCACCTGCTCTCTGTTTAACAATAAATCAAACAAAAACCTTGTTTTAGAGCTGTCGAGTCTCCCCACCCCACTGCCAGAAGGACACTCGGGATGTCCTGTCAGTTCCCAGGCTGAGCTGTGTCCAGGCAGAGCTGGGGATGATGGGAAAACAGGTAGTCCTGTCCCCACCCCGAGGCTCCTCAGACCACCTGCCTAACTCCCGCCAGCCCAGCAGGGTGATGGTGACTATCCCCAGGCCAGGGGCAGTGACATAGTGGCTCACCTTGGCAGAAAATCTTTTTGAAGACACTGGAAAAAACAAAAGCACAAGAGACACTGAGACGCAAAGGACAGAACCCCCTATCTGCGTGGCCCCACCCCCAATACCCACTAGCAGGGTCGCCCTCCTCTTCCACCCTAGTCTTGTCCCAGGAAGGGGAGCCGACACTCGACCCTCAGAACAGTGAGGGTCTCCCGTGAGAGGAGAACCTGTCTGAGATGGGTTGACCATCAGCATCCCGTCCCAGGACTAGAGTCTCATTGACCCAAACCCACCACTGCACTCCAAACCCTGCAGGGAAGGTGTGCTAGCCGTTAGGCACATGGGTCTCAACTGAGAAGCCCTGGCTCTCTCAGAACAAGACCTGCAGGGGTCTGCGTGTGGGGTCTGCCTCTCTTCCGGACACGCCCCTCCCAGGGCCCCAGCACAGGCACCGCTATCTTGCCTCTCCCATCCCCTGTGGCTGCCCCGTTCTCTCTGGTTCTGTGCTGCCCTTGGGCGTGGGGGACCTGAGCCGTGGTGGGCCATGGGGACTCCTGGGAGAGATCCAGAAAAACAGGCCTGGCAGCCCGCCATCTCACCCCTCGGCCCCCACCACTTGTATGTGCAACGGGCATGCATGCCTGCTGCCTCCAGGGTTGATCCCCAGTTCCCCGCAGAACATGACACTCTGTACCTGCTTGTGTGCACTTAAAGGGGCCTGCCCTGGCCAGGTGCAGTGACTCATGCCTGTAATCCCAGCACTCTGGGAGGCTGAGGCAGGTGGATCACCTGGTTCGAGACCAGCCTGGCCAACATGGCGAAACCCCGACTCTACTTAAAAAAAAAAAAAAAAAAAAAATTAGCTGGGCATGGTGGTGGACACCTGCAATCCCAGCTACTCAGGAGGCTGAGGCAGGAGAATTCGGGAGGTGGAGGTTGCAATGAGTGGAGATTGTACCACTGCACCCCAGCCTGGGGGACAGAGAGAGACTCTGTCTCAAAAAAAATAAAGGGGACTGCCCTTTTCGAAGGCCTGTCAGCTCACTGGATGAATATGCCAGCCAAGGAGGAGGCTGATATCCGAGCCTCCACTTTACGGAGGAGGAAACTGGGACAGAGGGAGGCTAGAGGATCAGCTCAAGGTGGTGGGAAGGGCCCGGCTCAAGCCTGCAGATTCTTCCCAAACAATGGAGGGAGAGGGCCCAGGCTGTAACCATCTTACTGCTGGGCCGTGGGCAGGAACTGGTAACTGTTTGAGGGGGGTAAAGGCCACCTTTTCAGAACACCCTGGGACTGTTTAACCCTAGGGAGGGAGGGTGAGGGTTTCTGTTGAGGGTTTAACTTCTGTCCTCCGAAAAGATATGTCCACATTCTAATCCCTAACTCCCAAGAAGGCAACCTTACCTGGAAGCCGGGCCTTTGCAGATGTAATAGAGTTAAGGTAAGGTTGTATTGGGTTAGGGTGGGCCCTAAATGCAGATGGGTGTCCTTATAAGAACAGAAAACAGGCCGGGCGCAGTGGCTCATGCCTGTAATCCCAGCACTTCGCGAGGCCAAGGTGAGTGGATCACCAGAGGTCAGGAGTCCGAGACTAGCTGGGCCAACATGGTAAAACCCCATCTTGACTAAAAATACAAAAAAAAATTAGCCAGGCATGGTGGTGTGTGCCTGTAATCCCAGCTACTCAGGAGGCTAAGGCAGGAGAATTGCTTGAACTGGGGAGATGGAGGTTGCAGTGAGCCAAGATCACGTCACTGTACTCCTGCCTGGGCTACAGAGCAAGACCCTGCCTCAAAAAAAAAAAAAAAAGAGAGAGAGAAATACACACAGAGGAGAAGGCCACGTGATGACAGAGGCAGAGATTGGAGCCATGTAGCCACAAGCCAAGAACACCAGGAGCCCCAGAAGCCGGAAGAAGCAAGGAAGGATCCTCCCCTAGAGCCTGTGGAGGGAGGGCAGCCCTGCCCACACCTTCACTTCGGACTTCTGGCTCCAGAATTGTCAGAGAAGAAATTCCTATTGTTTGAGGCCACCTGGTTTGTGGTGCTTTCTGATGGCAGCCCCAGGAAACGCATACAGATTCGAAGTTGAATTGATTGACTGACTGATTATCTCTCTGGTTAGCCAGGCTGGTCTCAAACCCCTGACCGCAAGTGATCTGCCTGCCTTGGCCTCTCAAGGGATTATAGGCATGAGCCACCGTGCCTGGCCTCTAAGTGGATTTTAAAGAAGCATTTTAAAAAATCCATTTAAAAAGCCCAACTTGAATATAGTGGAGCAGACCCGTAGTCCCAGCTATTTGGGAGGCTGAGGCAGGAGGATCGCTTGAGCCCAGGAGTTTGAGGCCAGCCTGGGCAACATAGAAAACCTCATTTCTAAAATAAATGTAAAAAGAAAAAGAAAAGAAAACCCAATCTGAAGCGTGGTTTGGGCCATGAAGGAGTAGGTGACTGCCTGGCAGCTTCTCTATCACATGGGGACAGACAACACTTACCTTGGAAGATGATTTTGGTTCGGTCCAGGGGGGCTACCGCTGTTTTGGCAAGGGCACCAGCCAGAGCCCCAGACAGCAGGGAGCTGAGCACTTGCCTGTGGTCACGCTGCAACAGAACACGTGATCAGAGGTCAGAGGGCAGGGGGGCTGCTCTGCAGAGGACCTTGCCCCAGAAGTGCCTCCTTACACCCTCCGGGTCAGGGCCAAGGGATGCACCCCACCCTGAGTGTGTTGGCCCTGCTTGGTTGTGGGTGATCTGTGGTGGGTCTACCAGCCACAGAGCCCACTGGGGACACAGTGAAAACTTCGCAGGGTGACAGGGACCATCCACATTGGAGGTGAGGTGTGCTGGCTTCACGTTCTCAGAGACAGGCTCACAATAGGACCGGCCCACCTGCGAACTTCAGTTCCCTCTACAGCCTGTGTGCCCCTGACTACAGCACTGTGGCATTTTAGGTACACAGGGACCGAAAACAGGCACCGGGGACTGCCGGGGTTGGGGGGTTGGTAGTGGGTGTCAGGCAAGCAGACCCTGACTCTGTGCCAGCCTGTCCCTTCCCACAGCTTCCGATCAGGAGTCCGGAGGTTGGCATCTGTGACTCTTCATCCAGCCCAGGTGAGAGGGTGACAGCGACACTGATGATGGCTGCCAACCCGCGTCAACTGCTCCCGTGCCAGCCCGAGCCAGTGCTTTCCAGAGTCCTCTGGGGCTGCCCGAGGCCCCTGCTCCCCCACAGCCCTCCCTCCTTCCCTTGACAGCCACGCCACACTGGAGTGTGTCCGAACCCTGTGGGATCCACAGGGCGCCACCTGCCCATCAGGTTGGAGTTTCCATTTTCCCCGCTGACTCAGCCACGGGACTCTCACTGAGAAGTGGCGGAGAGCATTCTGGAAAGTTCTGGATGAGAGGTGCTCTGATTCCATTTCCAAGCAGACTCAGCTACAGGACTCGCTGAGAAGTGGCAGAGAATATTCTGGAAAGTTGTGAATGGGAGGTGCTCTGGTCTTTTCTTGCCCTGTAGTGCTTTGCCGTCTGAACCCAATGTGGATGGGCAGGTTGTTCAGTGACTCCCAAGGATCTGTGAAGTCCCACTGGGCGCGGGCATCCTGAAGGGCCTGGAGACCCACAGTGTGGGGTTGGGGTGTATACAAGGTCCCTCCCGCCCCCATGGTACCACTGGTCCACCCAGAGAGCTAGATGCCAACAGAATCATCAGACTAATGCAAATACAGCCAGCCATTGGGAAGATGCCGTGAGGAGGTGGCTCACTGTTCCGTAAGAACTGGGTAGGGGACAGTGAGAGGCTGAGCTTGAAAGGATGAGGTACAGGTCACATTGGGGGGTATAAGTCATGGTATTAGGTGGGGAGGAATGGGGTGAGGAGGAGCTGGAGTGAGGAGGAGCGGGGGGCCCTGGGGGACCACAAGGGGGACAGATTTGCTGGCACAGCGAAAGGGAAGGGGCCCAGAGAAGAGAAGGGAGATGGGAAGGAGCAGTGGATGCCAGGCCAGACAAATGATGGCAAGGAGGCTGGTCTTTGCCCAAAGAAATGGGCTTCTTTTGGGGGGGGTTGGGGAGGGACACAGTTTCACTCTGCTGCCCAGGCTGGAGTACAGTGGTGCAATCTCAGCTCATTGCAACCTCTGCCTCCTCAGTTCAAGAGATTCTCCTGCCTCAGCCTCCTGAGTAGCTGGGATTACAAGCACATGCCACCATACCTGGCTAATTTTTGTATTTTTGGTAGAGATGGGGTTTCGCCATGCTGGACAGGTTGGTATCGAATTCCTGGCCTCAAGTGATTTGCCTGCCTCAGCCTTCTAAAGTGCTGGGATTACAGGTGTGAGCCACTGTGCCTGACTGAAATGGGCCATTTTTAAATACAACCAGAGTGGGGCCGGGCAGCGGGTCTCATGCCTATAATCCCAACACTTAGGGAGGCTGAGGTGAGTGGATCACCTGAGGTCAGGAGTTTGAGACCAGTGTGGCCAACATGGTGAAACCCCATCTCTACTAAAAATATAAAAATTGGCTGGGTGTGGTGGTTCAAGCCTGTAATCCCAGCACTTTGGGAGGCCAAGGTGGGAGGATCACGAGGTCAGGAGTTTGAGACCAGGTTAGCCAATATGGTGAAACCCCGTGTGTGGGGGAAAAACCCAGCAGGTGCCGAGGCAAGGGTCTGAAGCCTCAGCCTATTCCCATATTAATATTGAATTAGAAAAGAATTAGAAATATAAGCACATAGTTATTCCTATAGTCATATATACTCATTTAGTTATTCACATATAATCATAAAGATATATTTACTCAATATAACCTTTTAATTTTACTAATGATTATCGGGTAATGAAGCATGGAACTGAGGTGACATTGTGAACAAAGCAATCCTAAGGCAAGATGCTCTGAGCCCTCTGTCACGCCTGCATAAGGGCTGCTGGAGGGCGCCTCGGCTGTGCAGCAGCGCCAGTGCTGGGAAAGCGCCCACTGTTTAGCCAGCTAGGGAAGGAGACGTCCAAAATGACCGAGACCTCTCCTTCCTGGGGGAGCTAGGAGAAAACTCCGCTTCTCCAAGCTCTTGTGGTAAGGCCTGACGGCTGTCAGGGAAGCCCACAGACATCTGGGGGCTTAACTGTCTCTATGTGATGCTGTGCTTCAGCGGTCACGTTCCATGTCCACTCTCATGTTCTGCCTCTGCACCTGGTTTCTCTTTTTCTCAGGAGATAAGAATTAGTAATAGATGTAGGGTTGTTGGACCCCACAGGGTTGTGGGGTATCCCTTATGCTGTGCTGAGGTATGGGATTCGAGAAGTAAAGAGACAGGACACTGAAGAACTAATGAAGAGTATCTGGACTCAGAGGGCCATGCCACCTACGAGCGGAGACAGGAGAGGCCCAAACTCGCAGAAGGGTCTGTATTTATTAGGTACAGGGAGGGGGCAGGGTCGTGAGGTCATCACCTATAGGCTTAGTGATAGGGCATACATAATCACGTGAGTCACAAGTGAGGGGGCCACCCCATTATGTCACCTGGGCGGAGAGGGGGGCTGTGCCGTGCACAGTAGTAGAGGGTTGTGTACAGGAAAGGGGTCTACCCGCATCATGTCACTGAGGCAAGGAGGTGGGCTGTGTGCAACAGGTGTCGTGTACAACACTTCTTATCTGGGGGCTGGTTAGACTTCAAAGGATTTCTAATAGAAGGATACTGTAAGCCAATGCAGTAGGAGCTGACAGACTTGTGCTCTTCTCTTAAGATATTTATGGGAGGATGATTTGAGCTAGCACAGAAGAGAGAAAAGACTGACAGGGTGTACAGCCCCAGTGACTGGTCACACCAAAGGGGTTCTTCTCCCTCGGTCACTTCCAGGATCTCAGGCCTGAGGCCGACTTTCCACAGGAACTGGATGCAAGGTACTACACCTCCTTTATCAGGAGGAGAGGCTCTTGCTTTAAGCGTGCCATACAGCGTACGCCCTTTCAGGCAGGAACGCCACCGCCTGGACCTTTGGTTCTTGTCCTGGTCTGGCTGTTTTCCCATGTACTGCTTCTGTTCTGTGACTGCTCCAGGCATTCCTCCTACTACAAACTATGGTTATATAGAAGGATTCTAGAAATCAGCACTAAATGTGTCCGTACAGCTCCAACTACAGTACCTATATGATTACGTAGAAAGATTATGTAGAACTAAGTCTGCTAGATATAAGTACTAAGTATGTTTATATACAGTAGATATAAGTAAGAAGTAAGTTATACTTAAGGCACTAATTGTGCCTGGGGTCTGCACAGTTCTCCTTCCTCAGTGACCATGGGGGTTGTCACCCACAAATAGTAACATAAATCTTAATGTCCTTGATATCTTTGACAAGTATGTGAAAAGCAGTGACGTATTAAGGTTTCTCGCTACGGCTACTTGAAAGTCCTGGGCCCCTATCTCCAAGACATGTGATTGACCTGACCCTATCACGGACCACCAATGATTCAGCCTACCTGCCCTGCCCCCTGCTTTGTACTCAATAAAAATCAGAGTGTCTAGGCACTCGGGGCCACTTCCGGACTCTGCGCTTTGGCTGGCAGTGGACCCCTGGGCCCAAACTCTGTTTTCTCTTTTTCGGTGTTTTGTGTCTTTTAGTTCCAGAGTTTTTCATCTCCACACCTGTAGAGAGGGGCTCACAGGACCCTGTAGGGCTGGACCTTACACCCATGTGTACTTAAAAATACAAAAATTTAGCCAGGCATGGTGGCAGGCGCCTTTAATCTCAGCTACACAGGAGGCTGAGGCAGGAGAATCGCTGGAACTCAGGAGGTGGAGGTTGCAGTGAGCCATGACTGTGCCACGGCACTCCAGACAGGGTGACAGAGCAAGTCTCTGTCTGAAAAAGTGAAAAATAAAAATGGGACCAGAGTGAAAGTGGCTCCTGCAGAAACGCAGGATAGATATGGTAGAGGCTGGAGAAGGGAAGGGATGTGGGGGCACTTCTAAGGTGTAACACGCAGCCAAGGTCAGACTGAGCAGGGCTGCCCCCACCTCCGGAGTTTGCTCAGCTCAGGGGGTGGCCCGGGGTGAAGGGCTGGGCCTGAGTCTGTCCACACCTGGCCTGAATCCCAGCTCTGCCCTGACTGAGCTCAGGCAGTGGGTGACCTCTTGGGTCTCCTAGATCTCATCTTTGAAATGGCAAGGCGCCAGCTCTCAGATCCTGTCCCGCGTGTCCTGGGCTCCCCAGCAGACTTGCACCCCCAATACCATTCCACAGAACACAGCCTCCTTTTCCTCAATGCCCCCAGGGTCCCCTCTACCAGCCCAGCCCTCCCGTCCCCAAAGGGACAGATAGTACAGCGATTTTGTTTCTGAGGCTGAACTTCGCCATGGGGTTTGGTCTTCTAGCTTCTCGGAGGCCTGTCTCTGGGGACCGCTGCCTTTTCTGGGACATACAGCAAGGTTGCAGACGTCTGGTTCCATGGGTTTTGAGAAACGTGGGTGCTTGGCGGTGATCCCAGCAGCAGTCCAAGGCCTTACCAGCTCCGGGCCAGTTTCTTCTCTGTGTATCAATTGGACCAGCTGCTCCCCTCTGGAATGGGCCTCTGTGGGCAAATGGAATATTCCATGGAGAGTGCCTCCCTGCGCCCTGCTGGAGACACGGTTCCTCCACTTCCTCCATTGGGTGGTTACCTCCTATCAGTTTGTGATTTTGTTTGTTTGAGATGCAGTCTTGCTCTGTTCCCCATGCTGGAGTGCGGTGATGCAATTTTGGCTCACTGCAACCTCTGCGTCCCATGTTCAAGTGATTCTCCTGCCTTAGCCTTCCCAGTAGCTGGGATTACAGGCACACACCACCCTGCCTGGCTAATTTCTATATTTTTAGCAGAGATGGAGTTTCTCCACATTGCCCAGACTGGTCTTGAACTCCTGAGGCTCAGGTGATCTGCCTACCTCAGCCTCCCACAGTGTTGGGATTATAGGGCTGAGCCAGCGGGCCCAGCCAAGTTCTTAATGTCAACTCTGTGTTGTTTGTTTGAGATAGGATCTTACTCTGCCACCAGACTGAAGTGCAGGTGCATGATCACAGCTCACTGCAGCCATGACGTCTTGGGCTCAGGTGATCCTCCCACCTCAGCCTCCTGAGTAGCTGAGACCACAGGTGTGTGCTACCACACCAGCTAATTTTTTATTTTTTGCAAAGACAAGGTCTTGCTATGTTACCAAGGCTGTTCTCAAACTCCTGGGCTTGAGCAATCCTCCCCTATTGGCCTCCCAGAGTACTGGGATCTCTGGTGTGAGCCACTGTGCCCAGCCAATGCCAGATCTTAGGAACACATGCCCATAAACTGCACCTCTCAAAGTGGCCACCAGTGGCACCTGGAGGATGTGTGTTGGGGCCACTTCACATGCTCTGGAGGCTGCTGCCTCTGGCTGACACTTCCGGCTCCTCTTTAATGAACACAAACACCTTATTATCCAAAGAGCTGGGAGCAGGCATCACTGAGGGGTTGAAGTTTCAAGATTCACCCTGTGGGGAGATCCTACAAAAACGAAGGCAGCCGACAGAAAGTGGGCAATCCCCAAATGGGATGTACATTGGCCGTAAACACCACAGGAAGAGGCTCAGCCTTTTTTTTTTTTTTTTTTCCCAAGACAGCATCTCACTCTGTGGCTCAGGCTGGAGTGCAGTGGTGTAATCTCGGCTCACTGCAACCTCCACCTCCCAGGTTCAAGCGATTCTCATGCTTCAACCTCTTGAGGAGCTGCGAATACAGGCACGTGCTACCACACTTTGCTAATTTTTGTATTTTTAGCAGAGACCGGGTTTCACCACGTTGGCCAGGCTGGTCTCGAACTCCTGGTCTCAAATGGTCCGCCCGCCTCAGCCTCCCAAAATGCTGGGATTACAGGCGTGAGCCATCGCACCCGACCAAGGCTCAGCTTCTTAACCCAAGAAAAGAGACTGCAGAGTCGGTCCCTTCCACTGCGGAGCTGGCCAGGCGGACCAAGAGCGACGCTGTCGGGGCCTGCCAGCACAGAGGAGAATGGGCGTGTACGTGTGTGTGACGCCCAGCGAGTGACCAGCACCGCCGCATTTCTGTGTGTGGTTTGGCGGCCACTGCTGCCTCAAGCTTGTCCACGTGGGAGGACCCATGCTGCAGACCCCCTCCTCTCTGGCGTGCAGAGGAACAGCCGTGTCCAGGGTTCTTCCAGCTCTGTTGGGACCTTCACTCAACTTCAAGGCACATGCCTGCCCTGTGCCTCAGTCACCCGGTGGTGACTCCAGTGAATAAGTCCTCCCACCTGCCTGCTGCTCTGAGGTGTCACCTGGAATCCGGGGAAAGGTCAGGAGGCCCGGAAGATGACGCCACCTCAGTCTTTGATCCCGTGGACTTTGAAAATTGCCTGTGTGGGTGGCCTGAGTTGGGTCCTGGGAGTGCAATCAGTTTCTGTGTGGGTCTGAGTTGGTCTGTGTTTTGAGTTCAGGACTTGGAGGCCAGTGAAGGTTCTGGTTTCTACAGTGAACAACAGGGCTGATGCGATTGCTCTGAGAGAGTATCTTTTCTTCAGTGGAACTGTGGGCTTGAGGTGAACTTGGAAACACAGGGTGAAGCCCAAGCAGGCCCACCCCCTTTGGCTCTCAGCATTTGGCTAATACTTTTATACTTTTTTTTTTTTTTTTGAGACAGGGTCTTACCCTGTCACTCAGGCTGGAGTGCAGTGGCACGATCTCAGCTCACTGCAACCTACACCTCCTGGGTTCAAGTGATTCAATTGCCTCAGCCTCCCAAGTAGCTGGGATTACAGGTGTGCACCACCACACCTGGCAAGTTTTTGTATTTTTATTAAGTACAGGGTTTCACCATGTTGCCCAGGCTGGTCTCAAACTCTTGGTGTCATGTGATCCTCCCACCTCAGCCTCCCAAAGTGCTGAGATTACAGGCATGAGCCACCGCACCTGGCCTTGGCTAATTTCTTAGTGTTCGAAAATCTGACGGAGAAAAGGGGTTTCCAGGACACATTTGACACTTCAGGCTTCCCACTCAATGCTTGGCGCTGGGTGAGGTTTGGGTCTCTTACCAGGTGGCTGGGCTGGCTGGATTCCCATCACAAGCAGGGCTTTTGGTGGAATAGAGGGTAGCTGGCGTCCTCCGCTCACCACCTTACAGTGTCTAGGGCCGTGGGAGCAGAGAAGCCCCCACTGCTGCTCTGCCCTCAGCCCAGGTGAGCAAGGGTACCAAAATGCACATCCTAGGTGCAGGGTGATTGTGACCGGGCACATGAAGCACAGGAGAGGGAGCCCTGAGCCTGGGGGGAGAGGGTGGGGAGGCTGGAGCCCCAGGAGAACACCCATCCTGAGAGGCCAGGTACTTGCCTTTGATGAGACAGACGAGGACAGGACAGCCTCGGCATCCTCACGCAGTCGCACTGGGCCTTCCTTCACACCATTACCCATACCAGGCCTGCTCGGGACAGTGGGAGACTCAGTCCTGGAGAAGTAAGCAGGGCTGTTAAGATATGGCGAGACCCTGAGAGATGGCGGGTGTCCCCACCAGCCTTTTCCTGTCCTGGTTGTTGCCCATGCTTGTCGCGAACTCCTGGGCTAAATCGATCCTCCCGCCTCAGCCTCTCAAAGTGCTGGATTACAGGCATGGCCACTATGCCTGGTTAGCTCCCATGCTCTAAAATCATCCAGTAAATGAAAACGCATTACTGCAAAATGACGCAAAGGGTGCAGAGGCCCCAGGGCAGGCATCAGTGCTGCTGAGTGATGCTGTACAAAGTGTCCCCGGGATACTGCTGCACATGCCTCCACTGATTATTACCCAAAGATAATGGATAATAGTGAAGATGGGCACATGGGCGCTGGCTCTGGGAGAAACAGCTGCTTTGAAGATGGAGCTGGAGAGAAAGGATGAGCCTGGAGCCTGTGGAGGTGCCAGCCAAGGAGGGCATGCTCAGAAACAGAAACCAAAGCAGATGAGTGTGGTGAGGGGGTCACAGGCACCCACTGAAAGAGCCCCTGATGGCCAAATCTGGAACAGTTTGAGTGGAAATGGGGAAAAAAAATAAAGCAGTCATGGATGAAAGTCTGAACTATAAAATAACTAACCACGAGTCCATATGATACTTTTTTTTTTTTTTTTTTTTTTTGAGACGGAGTTTCGCTCCTGTTACCCAGGCTGGAGTGCAATGGCGCGATCTCGGCTCACCGCAACCTCCGCCTCCTGGGCTCAGGCAATTCTCCTGCCTCAGCCTCCTAAGTAGCTGGGATTACAGGCACGCGCCACCACGCCCAGCTAGTTTTTTTATTTTTAGTAGAGACGGGGTTTCACCATGTTGACCAGGATGGTCTCGATCTCTCGACCTCATGATCCACCCGCCTCGACCTCCCAAAGTGCTGGGATTACAGGCTTGAGCCACCGCGCCCGGGGTCATATGATACTTTTTAAACGACAGAATAAGTATAAGGCTGAGCACAGTGGCTCACGCGTATAATCCCAGCACTTTGAGAGGCTGAGATGGGCAGATTACCAGAGGTTAGGAGTTCGAGACCAGCCTGGCCAATATGGTGAAACCCTGTCTCTACTAAAAATACAAAAATTAGCAGGGCCTCGTGGCACACACCTTTACAGGCAGCGAGATTCTCCCTGCCACTGGGTGATAGAGCGAGACTCTCCCTCAAAAATCCATACATACGTACATACATACATGCATACATACATACATGGCATGCTAAAACAAACAAAGCCTGGAGAAAACCCGCAGTTTCTGGGGCATGGCAAGTGCACATGTTGGTTGTCTATAGCTGTAAGAGTGGCCCAGTCATCTGGCTCCTCTCGGTGCAGGACCTCCAAAGCACATGGTCCCAAGGGGCACTGCGGAGGGTGCCTCCGAGCCAGCATGGCTGCACCCAGCGGCTGCATGCAGAGAGGCAGGGCAGGGTGCCAGCAGCTCCGATTTTCAGGGAGCCCATTACCCTTCTTAGCAGAGTGTACCCTGATCCTGCTCCCTCCCCTCCCCTCCCGTCTCCTGGAAGCAGGGTGTCTGGGGCCATGCTTAGGCAAAGGCCTTCCTTCCTCCAGGGCCTGTCTCTGCCTCTGCAGGTATGGGTGAGAACGGGGAGAAGCCGCAGGTATCCACACAACAGAATAGTGGCTATTGGCCGGGTGTGGTGGCTCACACCTATAATCCTAACACTTTGGGAGGCCAAAGCAGGCCTCACGGAAGTTCGAGACCAGCCTGGGTAAAATGGCAGAAGCTTGTCTCTACTAAAAACACAAAAATCAGCTGGGCATGGTGGTAGGCACCTGTAATCCCAGCTACTCAGGAAGCTGAGGCAGGAGAATCACTTGAACCCAGGAGGGGGAGGCATTCCAGCCTGGGTGACAGAATGAGATTCCTTCTCCCAAAAGCAAATAAACAAAAAGAAAAAACCGTGGCCATTGTTCAGAGATCCCCTTGCCCCGTGCTCTGGAATCCTCCCAGCCTTACCTGAGGAGTCTCAGTTCAGCTTTACAGCTGGGGAAGCTGAGGCCGTTTGGGTGTTTGCCTGAGGCCACAGCCACCACTAGTGCTGGCCTAGCTGGGCTGAGGACAATGGTGACAATCAGTGCCACTAATGACTGGGGGCACTGTGGTTCCTCTTTAGCCCCCGGGGTAAGGTGCTGTTTCCCTACTCTGCAGATGAGACCCAGGGAAGTTTGGCCAAGTCCAAGGACAGAGGGAACTCAGGCCCCGGTGTAGGACTCCAAAGCCACAGCCGGGTCCTTCTCCATGGAGCCTGGCCCCCAGCCACCACAGTGAGTCTCAGCACGATCTCATCAAGCACTCTAGAGGACCATGTACCCCCTCCTTTTTTTTTTTTTTTTTTTAAGATGGGGTCTTGCTATATTGCCCAGGCTGGTCTAGGACTCCTGGGCTCAAGTGATCCTCCCAGCTTACCTCCCCTCCCCAGTAGCTGGGATTATAGGCGCGAACAACCTTGCCCTGCCCATGTGCCCTTACTCAAGACTTTACTTAACCTAAAGGAACAGCCAGTTCCAGAGGCATAGGAGGGCAACTTCCCCCAGGTGACCAGCACCTGGAGCTCTTGCGTAAGGTGGGTTCAGCCAGGCGCCTCTGTCAAGTGGGTATTCCCCATCCCCTACTCTATTCTAAGGAGGCAGCCCAGCCTGATGGGATGGGATGGGTTAAGCCCCACCTCCTGGAGGGCGAGCATTGATGGATAGGACTTGTCATTATTCCACAGGGAGGGCAGTCTCTCCTCCCTCGTTTATTTTTCAGTCATTGATTCTTGTCTGTGTGGCCCTGTGGATACTCACTTTGCAATCTCCATTAAACCCAAATGCTCTGTTACCCTCGGGGCATGTGATGCTATACATCCACCTCCGTAGGCGAAGAAGCGGGTCTGGGGAGGGAGGGTGGGTGGAGATTTCACTATGACAAAGAGGTTGCCCCGAAGACTCAGGTGGCTGGAGAAGCTGAACTGGACATACCTATGTCCATGCATCTGTGGGCCCCAAACCTGACTGTGCAGATGCAGAGGGGAGGCAGGGCCTGCGGTGGATGTGGGGAGGGAGATGGTGTGTGCAGGGCTCCGGAGGTGCTTGCAGCGGCCTCCTGGGGTGCTGGGGTACAGGCAGGTGTATGCAGGGGCTGGGCATGCTGGGGTGGCAGGGTGTGGGCAGGTGTGTGCAGGGCCCCAGAGGTGTATTTAGAAGCAGATGGGTGCAGGAGGTGCATGCTGGGGCAGTAGGGTGCAGGTATTGTCACTACACACTTCTTTGAGTCTTTACATCTCCTCCTACTGCATTTTAAAGCATTTTTGTAGCAAGTAGTTTGACCTAATAAAACATTTTCATAGCAAACAAAAAAAAAAAGAGTGAGGTACTCTTCACTTTTTCTGGGGCTCTCTACCTCTTGCTCAGGCTGCACCTCTGCTGTGTCCTCACTGCTCCCATGACTTCCCTCTACAACACTCATTCACTGAGCTGGCCTGGCCTGGTGCCTGTGCAGTGAGTGACGAGGCGTTTGCCAATTCATGCCTTCGCCTGGAGGAAGGAGGAACCCTGGAAGAGGCTGAATAACGAGACTGGGCAGGGCGGGGCAGGAGGCCAGAGAGCCGAGGCTGGAGGTCCTGAAACCCTCATCCTGACATTTGAGGTGACTGTCCTGGAAAGGGAACCTTAAGGACCACCATCATGGGCTGTGTTGGGCTGAATACTGGCCCTCAAAGATGTCCGCACCCTAAACCCTAGATGCCGTGAATATGCGACCTTACATGGCAAAAGGTACTTTTTAGATGTGACAAAATTGAGGGTCTTGAGACGAGGGAGACTGTCCTGGATTATCTGGATGAACCCAGTGTAATCGCCAGGGTCCCCATGATGGGGAGGCAGGAGAGGCCAGGTGCAGTGGCTCACACCTTGTAATCCCAGCCCTTTGGGAGGTGGGAAGATCGCTTGAGGCCAGGTGAGACGAGCCTGGGTAACAGCAAGATCCCATTTGTACAAAAAATTTAAAAATTAGCTGGACGTGGCCAGTCATGATGGCTCACGCCTGTAATCCCAGACTTTGGGAGGCTGAGGCAGGCGGATCACCTGAGGTCAAGAGTTCGTGACCAACCTGGCCAATATGGTGAAACCCCGTCTCTACTAAAAATACAAAAAAAAAAAGAAAAAAAAATTAGCTGGGCATGGTGGCACACGCCTGTAGTCCCAGCTACTCAGGGAGGCTGAGGCAGGAGAATTGCTTCAACCCAGGAGGCGGAGGTTGCGGTGAGCCAAGATTGAGACCCTGCCCTCCAGCCTGGTGACAGAGGGAAACTCCATTTCAAAAACAAAAAAATCAGCGGGGTGTGGTGGCACATGCGTGTAGTCCCAGCTACTTGGGAGGCCAAGATGGGAGGATGGCTTGAGCCCAGGAGTTGGAGGCTGCAGTGAGGTGTGATCATACCGCTACACCTCAGCCTGGGTGACACAGCAAGACCCTTTCTCGAAAAAAAAAAAAAAAAAAATGCCAAGTGCAGTGGTTCATGCCTATAATTCCAGCACTTTGGGAGGCTGAGGCAGGTCGATCAGTTAAGGTCAGGCATTTGAGACCAGCCTAGCCAACATGGGAAAAACCCTGTCTCTATCAAAAAAATACAAAAATTAGCCAGGTGTGGTGGTGCGTTCCTATAGTCCCAGCTACTTGGGTGGCTGAGGCACGAGAAATTGCTTGAACCTGGGAGGGGGAGGTTGTGCCACCATACTCCAGCCTGAGTGACGGAGCAAGACTCTGCCTCAGAAAAAAGAAAGAGAAAAGACAGAGGCAGGAGAGTTGGAGGCGATGTGAGTGCGCTCTGCTGCTGGCTTTTGAGGTGGAGGGAGGGGTCCTGGGGGATAGAAGCTGGGAAAGGCAAAGGCACACATTCTCTTCTGGAGCCTCCAGAGGAAACCCAGCCCTGCACTCCCATTTTAGACTCCTGATGTCCAGAACCAAAAGA